ACAAGCAAGGCAAAAGCAGCTCCACAGATTACTCAAAGATCCAAAACAGGTGTCAGCATCAGCAAGCGCTCAGGAGCCTTTGCCTGTGGCTATCTGTGGGGTGAGATCGAGGAAGGGGAGCTTCAAGCCTGAATGATTAAAAAAAAATTCCCCCTCTTAAACTAACTAGAGGGTCCATCTTTGTTTTAGTCTTTTGTCCTTTCGTGTGTCTCAAAGATTGCGGAGTAAAGCGACCAGCAAACCCGATAAAAACTGAGGAAACGGTTGGAAGAGACTAGTCCTAGATGGGGACGGAGGTCCCACCACGTCCACCAGGTCACTTGTCTCAGGAGACAGAGTCATCCTGGAATTGTAGGGAAAGCTGCCTCCCTGAGGACAGGCTCGCTGCCCCGCCCTTCCTTTGTTTCTCCAGCGATAGGAACAGCATGCTGGTTGCCCCCACGTGGAGCGGACAGGGACAGGGACAGGGTCGGTGGCTGCGTGCCAAGAGCTGTACAGACTCTCTCTCCTTCCTCTCCTCCCCTCCCCTCCTCCCTCCCTCCCTCTCCTCTCTCCCTCCCTCTCTCTCTTCTCCCTCTCGATCCTCTCTCTCCTCTCCCTGTTCCTCTATCTCTCTTTTTCTGTCTCTCTCCCTCTCTCCTCTCCCTCACTCTGCTTTCTCTTTCTTTCTCCTCTCTCCTCTCCCTGTCCCTCCCCCACTTCTGTCTCTCAGTTTCTGTCTCTCTCACCATGGATCCTAGGTGCCAATCTGGTAACCTTGGGATCCCACACTACACACACACACACACACACACACACACACACACACACACATACACACACACACACCACCACCACCACCACACCAGACCTGGTAGTTGCAATAGAAGAACCAGTTTGCTCTGTTGAATGTGACTGAGGGACACCAACAGAGGAGGAACAAGGGTGAGGGGATGTTTCTTTGTCCTGCCATTCTTGGAGGAATTGACCCCTCAACCAGGTTGCAAGGTCAACAGAGCAATTTTGAGTATCTCACAGGGAAGGCTCCGTGTAGATGCTTGCCTCGAGCCAGACATGTTTTATTTGGACTCAGCTACTGCTCCAAAGCAGAGAAAGAAAGTGACTCAGCCACTGTCACCCAGTAGTGACTGGAACTTATTACCTGTACATCCTTCAGCAACTTACTAGTCCTTGTCTAGGATTTCCTATCCATAAAGTTGGTGCATAATTAGTGTTGGGATGGGTGGGTGGGGGGCTCCCAAAGTGTGTCTGTGTATGAGTGTATGTATGTGTGTGAGGGGGGTCTGTGTGGGTGTGTTTTTCTGTCAAAGTCTGTGTGTTTGTGTGTGGGGGTGGGAGTGTATGTATGTGTGTGGGGATGTCTGCATAAGTCTGTGGGAGTGTGTGTGTGTGTGTGTGTGTGTGTGTGTGTGTGTTTGTCAAAGTGTGTATATGTGTGGGAGTAGGGGGTGCATATGTGGGGGAGATGTGTGTGTGTATGGAAGTGTGTGATGAGGCTATAGGTGAATTTTTCTTTTGATTATTGACATTTTCAAATGTATTGTTTGATAACAAATACGTATGCATTTTGTTAATTTTGTTTCTTTGTTCTTTTGGGGGGAGTTGTTTTTGTTTTTCTAACTGGGTTTCTCTGCAGAGCCCTGGTTGTCTGGGAATCTCTCTGTAGAACATGCTGGTCTGATCTGCCTATCTCTGTTTCTTGAGTGTTGGGATTAAAGGTGTGCACCACACACACACACCGGCTCCTTTTCATGTTTTTGTAAAGATAAGGTCTTGCAATGTAACCCTAGCTGGCTTGGAATCTGTTGTAATCCTCTTGCCTCTGCCTCCCAAGTGCTGGTTCTACGGACACATACACTACAGTAGCTACTTTTTCTTTTTGGATGGAGAGAAAACCACTGTACAGGTTGTTGTGAGAAGAGAAGAGACAAGGAAAAGGAAGAGCACAGCTGCTGGTTCACAGCTGGTTCACAACTGGTTCTCTGCAGTTGTAAGGCCACACCTACCCTTCTCTCTGGACCTTCTTATACCCTTTTTGCCTTCTGTGATGAAAGACGCAAGCTGCCCACAGACTGCAGCTTGGAAAAGGAAACAGGAAAGAACTCTGATGACCACTGGCTACGTGGCTTTAGAGAACTCATTTAACCTTCAGGAATCTCAGTTGCTTTGCTGCAGAATGGGAATATAAGCACTTTAAATCCATTTTCAGGTTGACAAGATGGTTCAGAGAGTACTGACACTTTGCCAACAAACCCAACAATGTGTGTTTCATCCTCACATGGTAGAAGGATGACATGGGGACTACATGATGGACGGATAGAACAAACCATGGCACACGAGCATGAGTACACACACACATATACATATACACACACATATACATACATACACACATATACACACACATGCACACTCACATACATATACAGAGACACACAGAGACACACACATATGCACACACATACGCAGAGAGACGCACATACAGAGACACAGATATACACAAACACACATTTTTAAGCAGACATGACATACAGAATGAGAGACTGCCTGGCATACAATAAGTGAGCAAGTTTCTTCAGGAAAATATCATGAAGGAACATAATGGGCACAACAAAGGAACATATTAAGGAAAGAGCTGGACCAGAGGTCATAGGTGATTTTAACATAGGCTCACACAGAATCTTCGGATGTAGTGAAAATGGTCTGCGGACATGTATGGGAAAAACTACATCCTTGTTAATAGTGGCCTCCAACTGCACTTCAGCACTTCCTTCTAGAATCCAAACAAGAGACAAAACAAACAAAAGCACAGTAATAGCATCTACAACTTTGTCACTATAGAAATGACCTTGAAAGTATAGTGCTCAGTGGACAATCTATCCATCTTTTGACATTCTAAACTGTAGGATTAAATTGTGATTCAACACAACTGACAGCCTTTATGATCCTAAATAACTCCTTCTTTGCAGTTAAAAATGCCATCATTAATATCGGCCCATAAGCTTCATCAAGAGTTTAAAGGAACTCTTGGGTGGGCAGGCATGGCCACACTCCTACTTGGGCCACTGATGGCTGTGTGACATTGTGCTGGTCTCTCTCCAGGGCATTATCCACCCTCTGGGTTTCTAGGAAAAAGAATTAATTCTTGACTGGAAAAGGATTTGGGGAATTGTCTTCCCAGTTTTGCTAGCTGACCATGTCTCTGAGAGGCCTTCCTCTTTCCCAAAGGATTCCTCCCCTTCATTCCTTCTTCTGGTACACAGAGGTCAATATGTACCTTCAATAGGGCAGCTCCTGTCTTCAGTGAGAACAGCTCTAGAGAAGAGTTTTCTGGGAATAATAACAGTGTCTCTTGGTTTAGAGGTATTGGTAACAAAACCTGGGCCCTCATGCATACGAAGCAGATGATCTGTCATTAAGATACACTCCACGAGCAACAATACCAACCAACCACAGCTCCCAGGATCCTAACCACCAGCCTGGGAGCACTTAGGGAGGGATCCAGGGCTTCAGCTGAATACGTAAGAGTGGAGGGCCCTGCCAGGCACAGGTGGAAGATGAGATCCTTGACATCATGAAGGCTGGACGCCCCAGGGGGTGGGAATTTTGAGGGTGGGGAAGTGGGAGTGGGGGGGTAGGTGGGGGTTACATCCACGGAGAAGAAGGAGGAGGGGTAAGGGGATGGAGGGTTCCCGGGTGGGTGGGTGATGGGGTAAGGGGACAACATATGAATTGTAAATAAAATATCCAATAATAATAATAAAAAAAGATACACTCCACGCCAAAGGTAAGTTTTTGTTCATTTTTGACATGATATCTGTATTGCCAGGCTTGCTGTAAACTCCTGGGCTCAAGCAATCCTCCTGCCTCAGCCTGCTGAGTATCTGGGACTAGTGGCATACGCCATCAGAACTGGCTGCTTTTTGTTTATTGTTTTAATTTACTTCACGTTGACCCTTATAGACACTACCGTCTCAGTACCTTACACGGGCCCCCTCGGTGCCTACGATCCCTATATTACCCGGTACTATCAAGTCCCGTGTTGATCCCTCCCTGATGACTCCTCTGTGATTCCTCCACCAAGCTGTTTCTCAAGCGCCAGCCCAGATCTGACCTTCAGGTCTGAGGCGCGGTGTACAATGGCATCTGTGGAGCTGCCCTACAGGACAAAGGGAAACAGTGAAGGGATCCGTTCCGCTTACACCCAGACCCGGTCAGATCCACGATCCCACCCACACAGACCGCAGCAAAGGGAAGCACTACACTATGTCCTACCGTCTTCTTCTGTGAAAACAGAGAGATAAGACTCTGAGGAACTGGGCAAGTCCTCAGAGATCTTTGTTTACCCTCTCAGGGTACACTGGAGAAACTGAGGCTGTGGAAGCATCTTCAGACAGGAGTGAGAACATTGCCCTTGTAGTCTAGGAACAAGTTGTGAAGATTGGCAGCCCCTAACTGAGGTGGGGATAAAGGCTTATTCCTGAGACAATTGCCTCATTGTCCTTGGCCCAGCAGTAGGGAGTGCTAAGAGAGTTTGTGTGAACATTGTGTGTCAGGGAGCAGGAGAGGAAAGAAAAGAAAGGTAAAGCAGCTAGCAATGAAGATTTTGAAAATATTACTGGAGAGCAGGGTGTGGGCACACATTCAGAATCCCAGCATTTGGGAGTTGGAAGCAGGTCATCAAGACATCCAGGCCAGTGTGGAATACACGAGGCCGGCTGGTAAAGAGGTCTGTCTGATGAGGGCCAGCCAGACAACAAGGGTTGAAATCCCATGAGCTCAGGAGCCTGGGGAAATAGCTTGTCTCTGATCCTCAGGTGCCGTCTATACAATGAAAACCCTGGTCTTCAGGTTGCTTTGCCAGTTAAATGGAGTAATTATTCATCAACCCCAGAGGACCCCATTCTGCCTGTCTCCTGTGTAGCACACAACCGCCCAGAGAAGGGTCCTGGCGGCCCGCACAGTGGTACCTCGCGCAGCCGAGAGCCTCAAATATCCATCTTGCCTCTCTGGCTGTCGCGTGGTGTCTCGGCAGCGGGGGCGAGGAGGCAGCCTCCACCCCAGACTGAGTCCCCGCGCGCACTCCTGCCTCCGCGCCCGCGCACCTGGCCACCCGGTCCCCGGGCTCCCCGTCCTCACCGCGCGCCTCCGTGCCTTTCGCCGTGCCTTTCTCTGCAGCGCCTCTACCTGCGCACTTCCCTGCCTGCCTGGCCCTCGGACTCTTTCTCGGGCTCCGCTGGGTCTCCGGCCACAGTCCCTCGCTCGCCCGCCGTCCGTCCGGGGGACCAAAGAGGCGCGATGAGCGGCGCCTGTTCGAGCTACGTGAGCGCGGAGCAGGAGGTGGTGCGCGGCTTCAGCTGCCCGCTGCCAGGGGGCGAAGCGGCTGCTGTCTTCTGCTGTGGCTTCCGCGACCACAAGTACTGCTGCGACGACCCGCACAGCTTCTTCCCTTACGAGCACAACTACATGTGGTGGCTCAGGTACAGGCCCTGGCCCTAACCTCACCTTGAACCCCTTCTCCCATCTTAGCCCCCTACCCCACCCGCAGGCCAGCCTCTTGTAAGCCTCTACCTTCATCTTAGTGCCCATCCCTCAAATCATCCTTATCCTCGTTGCCAACACTGACCCTACTCTTACTTTGTACCACACCAAACCCTTGAAGCCCCATCTCAGCTCCTTTTTCATCCTGACCCCAACCATTATTTAGAACCACGCTTGAACCTGACCAGCACTACCCCGAAGCACTCATTCTGACCCTATTCGGAACTTCATTCTGCTATCACGCTCAACACAATCCCAAATCACAAGCCAACCCTCACTCTAACAGCAAATACTGTCTTCAGACCTACAGAGGAATCCCAAACTCCACCCTTAGTCCTCACACAGGCGCTCAGATCTGGATGCTGTTCTGGATACTGGCACAGTTCCACTCCAGCTTTACGGACGCCCTATTACTCGTGCAATCCTAACCTGCCTCAGCCTCCTCCTCAAGCCTGCCTGTTAACCGCCTCAGCTGTTTACCCACGTCTTGACTTTTATGGGCTCTAGAACTACATCCAAACCACAACTTCAAACCTTCATCCTCACCTGATGCTCCAACCCAACCCAGTCTCAGCCCAGCTTCAGCCCTTCCCTTCCCTCTCATTCACTTTACTGGACACTTATACTTGAGTCCTGGGGCTGTACCCTATGCTAGTACTAAAGCAAAGCCCTGGAGGGCAGAGCTTCCTGCATGTTCAGTGTGACACAGTGGCATAATGCCACAGCAGAGACCAGCTCCAGCCATTTTAATGGGGGTGGGGGAGGTCTAGGCGCAAACACTTCATTTTCCCTGACCATTCAGGACAGGGAATTGTGCCAACTCTAATAATCCTGAAACCTAAGTGTGGAGCTGGAGGGCAATAGGTCTTCCCTCTGAGTCCCTAAAGGGACCCAGAAAGTAGAGCCTGATCTTTCACCTGCTCTGGGAAAGAGGTGTCAGCAAAAATGGGGTGGTCCATGGAGAGTTTTCTGTCCCTAACAGTGTGTGAGCAGACTATGTGCTTTCCGGGTGGGAAAGGAACATCTTAAGCTGCTGTCTTGTCTCTGAGTCTTCCTGGCTCTTCATCTGTCAGATGGGGAAATGACTGATCATTGTCTCGATTTCTGATTAAGGCAGAGGAAAGGACCAAACGAGAGACCAAAACAACTAGATATACACCAATTACAACTACAAAGATTGCTTTTTCTAAGATGTCCAATCTGTAATTCTAAAACACTTTCAAATGGCGAGGATATCACGTCCTGCACATTTGGCTGGTGTCTAAAAACCCAAGGAATCATACGAGTTTTTTCTGTTCCCATGTACGCATCCGTTCACTATAATCTTCGCTACAGGGTCTTCATGCAAGGCGCTAAGGACACAAACTCTAAGGACCTTCCGTTCTTGTTGTGAGAATCAAGCCCAGGACCTTGGGCATATCATAGACAAGAACACTGACACTGAGTGTACCCCCAACACTCCTAGTCTGTTTGGAGCAGAGGTTCCCAACCTTCCTAAGGCTGCGGCCCTTTGGTACAGTTCCTCATGTTGTCATGACCCCCAACCATAAAATTACTTCATTGCTTCTTCATAAATGTAATTTATTCACTATTGTGAATCATAATGTAAATATCCGTGTTTTCTGGTGGTTTTAGGTGACCCCCTATGAAAAGGTCATTTGACCTACAAAGGGGTTATGACACACAGGTTGAGAACCACTGATTTAATGACAGACATTGTACCTAAGTGAACAGTACAGTATCTGTTGAATGGAAGTAAGAGCTGAAGGAAGATGATACTGTCTGTTCAGAACCTGGTGCAAACCTTGGCTCTATCTTACCAGCTTGTGAATTGGAAAAGTTGTTAAATCTCATGGACTGTTTTTTTTTTCTTAACTTTAAAATAGCAGCTATAGCTACCCATGCTGGGTCACACTTGTAATCCCTCAAGAGTGAGGCTTGAGGCAGAAAGACTATGGGTAATGTCAAGGAAGTCAGAGATACACAGTGAGTCCCAGGCCAGCCTTGAGTACACAGTGAGATCCTGTCTCAAAGAATAAATTAAAAACGTGAAGAGCAGTATTAATGCTGACTCACAGAAGAGCGTGTAGGGAGGGAGTGACGTGCTGTGTGGCCCATGGAAAGGTGCTCAATGCATTGAGTAGGTGCTCAGCGGACCAGGATCCCCTTTCCATCTGTAAATGTGAGACACAAAGCTCAGAGCTTGGACGTGAGCTCGGCCCTCTAGCACTGTCACAGACCGGACTGAGACACCTAGGACAGGCGACACACTTCCACACATACACAGCCTAAGACATCTCTCCATTTTATAGTGGCATAGCTGAGATGGAAACTTAGGCTTGTCTGATCCTAAACCCAAACTTGTCCTGTTCCACATCTGTCTGAACCGTTCCTGGCTCCTTACAGCTGAGCTCCCCCCAGAACGTGGCTCTGTTGCTTTCTGATACTGTGCTGGCCCTTATGATGCAAAGATGAGTAACCCCCTGTACCTCCCACCCCCAGCTGGTCGTCCCTTCCTCTTCCATCACTCCCTTATCTACTCATTTCTTGTGACTCCTCCCGTTGCCTAAGAAACCTCCCTGTGGAATGCTTTAGTGGGTTTTAATGGAGGGTTGAATAGGGAGAGCTTTAAGGTCAGATCTTATATCAGCATGACCCCAAAAGCAGCTGAAAGGTTACAGCGTGTGAAGTGACTTCCTGGGTTCTTTTTGTGGTTGGGTGTGGGTATGGTTGGCTGTGGGTGTAGTTGGCTGTGGGTGTGTTTGGCTGTAGGTGTGTTTGGCTGTGGGTGTGTTTGGCTGTGGGTGTGGTTGGCTGTGGGTGTGGTTGGCTGTAGGTGTGTTTGGCTATGGGTGTGGTTGGCTGTGGGTATGGTTGGCTGTATGTGTGGTTGTCTGTGGGTGTTGTGCATGCTTGTATGCCTGTGCACTGAATGCACACAGTTCCTGCAGAGGTCAGAGGAGGGTGACTGATCCCTTAATACTGGAGTTATAGAAGGCTGTGAGCTGTCATGTGAGCACTAGGGACGGAAAGCTGGTCCTCTGGCCAAGCAGCTAGTGCTTTTAATTGCTCAGGCCACTTCCTGGGTTCTAACACAACATAGTTTATAGTTGCAAAGCACAGAGCTGAGGGTCCCCAGGGCACCTGGCTGGTTAGTGTACACTGAACTCTGAAACAATTAAACACATGCATCTGACAAAGCCCCCATCACTTCAGGATGGAGACCTTGTTTTCTCCACATTTCATTTGGTCCTATTTCATGAAATCTCTGTCTTGCAAGCATATTAAGTCTCTGGGTGAGCACAGTATCCTTAAGGAGAGAGTGTTTGAGGGGCAAAGCCATCTTTAAAAGCCAACCATCTCAGAACAGGAAGACATCCCATGGAGAAGCGGCTGGTGTAACTGCACCATCTGGCCCAGTCGCCAAAACCTCCTTCCACCTTCTTACTGCCAGGATGTGAGCCAGAAGACAATAGCCTCAGTGCAGGGCAGGGTTGGTGGTTAGGTACCAGGAACCTTGAGCACAGCGTGGGCCGCCTGGTGAGACTGAAAGGCAGAGCTGGTAATCAGGTTCTGCAAACACCCTCTTCCTGCACTCATTCTGTCACTGGCCACAGGTGAGATGGGAACCTTCACAAACGAAGATCAGAAAAGAAAGGGGATAGTTCCCCTTCTGTGTGGCAGAATCAGGTTTCAAACTGAAAAGTGCCTGCTCTGGAAGCCCTAGTGCCCTTGAGTGCTTTCTCAGGGTCACGTGGGTATTTGTGTCTCAGAGCCAGCACAGCAAAATCTCCTAAGTGCAGAGGCCTCTAGTTTGGTTTCTGTGCAGAGCAGGACTCTTGACGTCATGGAAAGACAGCTGTCTGTCCTGTGCTAACCTCTCCTCAGGAGGAAATTGCCCCTCTGCAGGCAGTGCCTCCCCAGCAGACAGCTCCGATCATTTTAAGTCCATCTGGTGCTGGAATAAGGCTTTTCCTCTCAGAGCGCTCTCTGTCCTTCCCATGCTGTATCCTCGGTCCTCAAACAGACATGGTCCAGGGATGTTGCATTTCTAAGATAGCAATTGCTCCCTAACTCACCTCCAGTGTGGGATACATCCTCCAGTCTTCTCACTCATTCCACAAAAGTTCTTCTTTAGAGGCCACTTCCCCATCCTGGTGCACATAATTGTCTCACAAAGAGTGGCCTCCTCATCTGTACATGGGTCTGAGAGCTGTAGGCCCGTGAACAGTAAGCGATCTCAAATGAGAAAACTATTGTTTTTTTTTTTAAGTGTGTGTGTGTGTGTGTACACATGTGTACACAGGGGCATATGCATGTGTAGAGGCCAGTAGCCAATTTCACTCGTGATTCTCCAGAACACCAACCACCTCCTTTGAGGCAAGGTCTCTCTCTCTCTCTCTCATTAGCCTTGAGGTCACCAGGTCGGCTAGACTGGCTGGCTAGTGGGCCCCAGGGATCCTCCTGTCTCTATCTCTGCAGTGCTCGGGTTACAAGTGTGCACCATTACGTGAACACTTCTTCTGGGTGTTGAACATGAGTCCTCATGCTTGCAAGGTGGGCAAGCACTTCACCAAGTGAGCTATCTTGCTGGCCCAAAGTATTGACAAGAACTAAAAGCACCACATACTCAATATGAAAAATGTGGGGAAGGACAGAGAAACAAAGGATTAAAAGGGGGGAGCTGGAGTGTATTAGTTCTTTCTCTAAGATAAAGAGCTGATGGCAAACAGCCTTTCAGTGTTTGTTTGGTTTCTTAGACAGGGTTTCTCTGTGCAGCCCTGGCTATTGTAGAACTCACTATGTAGACCAGGCTGGCCTTGAAATCACAGAGATCCACCTGTCTCTGCCTTTGGAGTGCTGGGATTAAAGGCATATGGTATTACATCCAGATGAGTAGTTTTTTATGGATCCCAGAAAACACTGGTAGAGGGTGGGAAAATGAAACAGAGAAAACAACAAGAATAGGTTATGCTACAAGCAAGTCACATTGAGGTAACCAGTGCTTAGCTTCTGTCAGTCAGCATACAATGTATACCTCAGAGTTATTCTACCAGAGCTGGGTACGCATATATGTGGTTATGGCCTGTTCAAGGAAGGGAGGCATTAATTATCCTATACTTCTGACCTGTTTAATGAACAGATTGAGTTTTGTTCTGGGTCTAAGAAAGTCCTCCGGCAAAGAGATGCTAGCAACTGAAACCCTTGCACTGAATATTGCACAATGGTAGGACCAAGGGGATGTGGCCAGGACATCTACAGCCTGCATTACACCTAGAGGAAGCTTGATAATCATTTGCTACATTTGCCTCCAACCTTATGTTTATATATATTTAGTTAAGTTTGGGCTGAGCTTTGTGTCTAGTATTATATTGCTATTTTCACTTTACATTATCTTGTGAGAATGTATTTATATATGTGTATGTGTTTGTGTGTGTGTGTGTGTAATTGTTGGTGTGGGGGACACACACACAGACCAGAAGATGATCTCCACTGATATTCCTCAGTGAGCTACACAAGTGGGAAAGTTGAAGCTGAGTCCTACCACTCACACTTGGGTAGTTCGCTGCTTCCCCAGGCCCAGCACTCAGCCCATTGTGCTCTTCTGTCTCCAGCATTGGAGCACTCGTGGGCCTGTCCACGGCAGCAGTGGTCCTTCTGGCCTTCCTCATCACCGCCTGTGTGCTCTGCTACCTGTTCATCAGCTCAAAGCCACACACAAAGCTGGACCCAGGCTTAAGCTTACAGACAACAGGTAAGAAAGAAGCAGCATGCTGTCCTTGTGAAGCTCAAACCTCTCTTTGTGTGTGTGTGTGTGTGTGTGTGTGTGTGTGTGTGTGAGAGAGA